GATCTCATTATCAATTCCCCTTACTGTCTGCAGAATGATTCTCATTATGTTAGTTTGGGGAATTTGGTATGAGATCAATTAGTAATCCCTTCATGGATATTTTTCTTTATTCTCATCACTTGTTTGCATGATATTGTATAGATATGGTAAGGAGAAATTCTGTCTTGGTCACTCATGGGAGTTAAAGGGTTAACTTCTTATTGTAGACAATAGACAATAGACAATCAGAGCCTGCCCAGTCTCCTTCAAACCCAAACCCTGGCTATCTAAGACTATAACAGAGCTACTGAATGAGTTGTAACAAAAGTCAACTCGGCAAAATCACAGCTTAAAAAAAACCTCACCAGATATGATATACAAATGCCTTATTTTAACCCTTTAACTCCCAAGATCTGATTGTTAATTCTCCCCTCTAGATGCTACACATTTCCTTGTAAATTAGTTATGAGAACTTGGTGCAAGATCTAGATTGTAGCATCTACCTGATAAGTTTGAATATTCTCATTACCTGTTTGCTGAATAATGTATGGATATTACTGGGAGAAGTTTCATGTTAATCACTACTGGGAGTTGAAGGGTTAATAATGTTTTTAAGATCAACCTGTAGAAGATTTTCTCCTTCAGGACGAATGATAAAATCACCACTCCTATCACTAATATCTGTAAAAAAAAAGATCACACAAATGTCACGCAAGCTTTTAAGAGTCATGCATCAAAGGATTGGGTGAAACCCAACAAATACCAGCATTTGTCGTTTGAACTTCTTGTCATGGCAATGGTTTTCTTTCAACTTTCTTGTAAAAAAAGGATGTAAATGTGATTGAATTTTTGGCTCTCTTATTTACAGGGCTCAGCTTATGAATATAGCCTTGAATAACTGAAATTGTGAGAGCAAATATAAACATTATCAAAAGATAGCATTTATCACTTGAGTATATCTCTAATATTCAGTTTTAATGCATATTTTATAACAAAAATTAATCAATTTGAAAAGAAAAAAGAGAAAAAGCAAAAGAAAGGGAAACAAATTGATTAAAAAGGACACATTTGTCATCTACAGTGAGTTTTAAATTTCTTACCTGTCAAAGAAGGATCTTGATTTTTACTTCAATTGATACACCTCGAGCCTCATTTTTTCCTGAAAATTGAAGATTCAATAATTTAGATTAATTAATAAGGATGCTGGTTTTAATAATATTATAAATTTAAAGCTATGAGTTATGGTAAAGCAATAGTATAAAAGTGACTTACTTTGAATATGAAGGCTCCTGATCCATTGTGAGGAGAGAATATCTGATAATAAATAAAAAGTATTCATCCTCCATTAGATTTGAATCTCTTTTTTAGTTAAACCATCCTGCTATTTTTGAGATCAGGAAACAAGTAATTTCCTTTGGCAAATGAAACTTGTCTTTTGAGACACAAAACTCTCTTTTGGATAATAATTTTAATAATTAAAATGCCTTTTCACACAAGTAATTCACACCCTGAGGCTACAACAGATGTCTTTGATTTAGACTCTCAGATGTTTCTGCGAACAAGCTAGCACCTACATGTATAAGTTCATTTCACCATTGCAAACTGAATTCCCAGTTTTCTGGGAATTTCTAGGAATTCCCAAAAATTCCCAACTATACAAATAAGCTCTGATTTGAAAAGCTTGGAATTACTGAGAATTTATGGGAAAGGAAGACTCCAGTTTTGTGAGGACTTGGAATTCCTAGGAGTTGTCAGCTATACAAACTACCAACAATTTAAGAAGGGTGGAATTCTTGAGAATTTCTAAGGATTGAATTTGAGGCAATTTAAATGCCCTGAAGTTCAAATAAATTCCAAGAAATTCTCAATATCTTGTGTGAAGGTTTTAAGACAAGGAGTAATTTTAGAGGCTTAAAACTTCACCTCAATAAAAGGTATGCTATACAAAATTTACCAAAAGATACACATACATGTATATGTATATAACTTAAAAATCATGAGATTTATTATTCAAATGTAAATCTTTACATTAATATGGATTTTCTCATAAAGCAGCAGTCAATTGTGTTAAATGCAAATTGCCAATTAATCCAATGTACTCATATCAATGATTTGCTTTCTAACCTCAAAAGACTGTAGGATTCCATGATCATAAAAGTTTTTAATTGTGATGCAAAATGTCTTATGTCCACAGATGTGCCAAAATCATCAAACATTCATCAACTGTTCCTTGGTACACAACTTCCACATGTGTAACAATAATTACATTGCTATCTACACTTAAAGAACTTTGTTAGATATGAATATCAGTTACTTCCCTAATCAACGTTACTGGTTCCCTTTGTTAGAAAACCTTGGAACATGCAAGCTCAGTTGCCTCAAACACTGCCAAGAGACTTTTTGTACATATTATTTTCAGTAGAAATTTCATGCCTTAGACAAACAAATTCAGCACCTAATTAATCTCTCTTTTTTCATGATTTTTGTTGCTGTTTTTTTTTTCAGTTTTTTGCTCTGTTTTTGTGACTGATTGCTGTTATTTGTTTTTCTGTTTTTATTCTTACAAAACATTTTTGTTAAGGGTTCCAATACTTATGGATCATATGCACACTCCGCAAACATTTGGCATGCAGACAAGACAGAGGTGGTCACTGTTCCCTTTGAGAAATAACACCTTTTAAATGACTTCTTCATTTTACTTTTTTTGAAACTCTGGTTTGAAAATATTTTTAAAACAAGACTTGTTAGTAGTGAGAAGTACAAACCAAGTTTCTTTTCATAACTTAATTTCTTAAATGTCACAATCACTGGATCTCCTAAAAATATTACTTCTTTTTATTTTTGGTGCAAAATATAAGTCCTTCCCTGTATTGAAGTGAAAAGGGTAAGTCACACTTCATTGATAACAGCTCTAAAGTTTACTTGTTGTTCGTCTCTGAGTCAGCTGCCTACAAAATTGTTTTATACTATGTAGGTCTGGTATAAAATTTTACTTGTGGTATAAAAATTTTACTTGTGGTATAAAATGACAACCTTATATCTTCAACTTTGAGTGTTTTCTTGTGATTGTTTGGGCAATAGATGTAGATGATATTTGTGAAGGATACAATTGGCTTGTCAAAGAGCACAAACGAATTGGACAGTATACTTTTATTGTGTTGTTGCTATCTCAGGTTATTGTTGATCATTTGAAGTACTCACTCTCCTGTGAGTGTTTTTCAGAGTTTCAACTGTACTGATAGTGCAATTTACTTCCAATTTTAGCAAGAAATTAAATTTTACATAAGTTTATGTTTTGTTTCAATGTTTTGATGTGAATCCCAACCAGCGGGGCTGATTACCAAAACAAAAAGGGTCAATGTCGAGTAAAGAAAAGTAAGACAATGCTAGTACAAGAGATATGGTTGTTACACCAAAGAGCTTGTTGGAAATGGAGGAATAATTATGGATTTTAATGGAGTAATGAAAAGTCTTTTCAATCATTAGTCTTAGAAATATCATCAGATATGATCAATTATGTAGAGAAACTGTGAATTAAAACAAGTACTAGTTTGGGCTTCCAGTTGTAATATGAATAGTTAAATAAATCAATTATTTCCCAATCAAAATCATATTCGTTTTATCATTTCAACTGCCCTACGAAAAATTGTATACACTCTTTGCAACCTTATTCTCTAACCCCTTAAATTACAAGAGTTATGTGATAAATAAGTTTTGCCGAAGTTTATCCTCTCATTGGCACTTCAATCCCAAAAAGGCAATTAAAAAAATTCTCACCAAAACACAGCAAGAAAATTAGATAAAACCGGAGATGACTGAGGCAGGACTATAACTGTTGTTAAGATACATGCCTACATACCATGTACAACAGACTTGGAGAGCAAAAAGGCCAAAGACAGTTGTGAGCCATGACTTGGAAAATCCACCTCAACCTCCCAAAACCGATTTCACCCAAGGTTGTAGTAAGAGCAACTCAACCTGAAGCTGGAACATTTTTTAAAGTCTTGTGTCTTAAGTGACTATAAAGAGAAAGAAAAGACGATGTTATTTGAATTGATTTGAAGCTTGGTGGCCACCTCCAACTTTACACAATTTTATTTCAAAGTTGAAGTAAAATAAGACCTTCTATTATCGTAACGGGCTAAACTTCAGAATACCCCGCAACTGAAATGAACTTTCAAATCCTGCTACCGCAGTCCCGCAGTCGACATAATTTACATACTATATATATATAAACCTCACGAAATATACCACTTTTTGCTTTGTCCACCTTGTTGGTCCGTGCTACCGCAGTCCCGTAGTCAACATAATTTACATACCAAAGCGAATGAAATGAACGCTAATGAACGCAACGCAAAGCGTGCTACACATGAATATTCCTCGTTCTTTTATCCATGTGCCGAAACAAGCAAGTTAAACATGTATATACCTTGTTCTATTATCCATGAGCCGCAACGCAAAGCGTGCTACACATGAATATTCCTCGTTCTTTTATCCATGTGCCGAAACAAGCAAGTTAAACATGTATATTCCCTTGTTCTATTATCCATTAGCCGCAACGCAAAGCGTGCTACACATGAATATTCCTCGTTCTTTTAAAAAGGGCCTAGCTGATGCAGCATGAAAACGAGGCTAAAAAACTATAAAGGGCCATTATTTCTTTCTAATTCAGGGAAACTCAACCAAATTCACCAGGTACAATATGCAAGCAACCCCGAAGCCAACGGATTAGTTTAATTCATTAGCGGAGGTCACGTGATCTATCTAGCATGAAAGCGAGGCTGTAAGCTGGGCATGAAATGAAGGTCAGCCCACATCCCGGACTCGTGGCCCAACTCCTTAAATATAATTATGAGACAGTTCTGATGCCAGAAAATTGTTTTTTTGTTTTGTTTTGTTTCCAGGGCTGTGTAGCAATGTTTCATTCGTTACAGGAAAGGGGCGCAACCGCAGAGAAATTAGGCTAGAACCAATAGTTCAGGCTCTCGGGGAAGCCAGGACAGCTGCTCTTCCCGCGTTCCATGCACTCAGTGGAGCAGATAACACCGGATGCTTTTCAGGCCATGCATGGAAAACCTTTGTGTTGGAAAGCATTTCTGAATGTTGATGAAGATGTTGTCAGAGAGATGGCCAAGCTGGGAACAACATTAACACCATCTGAAGAAACCATAAAGGCCATTGAGAAGTTTGTTTGCGAACTTTATGTTCCAAATACATCGCTTACCACCGTGAAAGAACTTCGATGGTTGTTATTTCGTAAGAAGCAAGCACAGTCAGAAAGACTGCCACCAACCCGAGGTGCTCTTCTTAAAGCTGTTCTACGAGCCTACTATCAAGCTATTGTTTGGGACAACGATGTTGTGGCAAACCCTGACATTCCGTCTCCTGAAAACTATGGGTGGGAGAAAAATGACAACAGATGGTTTCCAGTAATGACAAGGCTGCTGCCAGCACCAGAGGCCATAATTCAGCTAGTCAAATGCGGATGCACCAAGCAGTGCGCAAGCAACTGATGCCAGTGCCGCAGAAATGGATTGCCATGCACAGACCTTTGCTCTTGCTGTGATGAAGAGGATGAACCCTGCCAGAATGTTTTCAGTGATGTGGTAGATGACGATGAAGAATGTGATGACGAATAGGATGACATGAAGAATAAAGAAAATTAACAGATGGACCTTGAATTAATTCTGATACATTTTTATGTGTTCCTGTAAATGAAGCTATCTTACTTTGTAGGTTAACGTTACCTTCGATATATCAGTAAGAAATATGAAAGATATAAGGTGACTGACAACTTAACACAACTTTGTGCCCAGTTGGAAGCATTTAATTTTTTCTAGTAAGTTAACACGGTGATAGTATAGTTTGTATATTTTAATCTCACCAAGGACCAGCGATTGCTATTATTATTTATGGTTTACGGATTGGAGAGAAATAATGGCCCCTTGTAGCCTCTCAGCCTCGTTTCCATGCTGGATCAGGTAGGTCCTTTTTCAATACCCCATAATTACCGTCTAATCGCTTAACAAAATTGTCAACAACGATTTTTAGATTCCTTGTGGTCTAGTGAACCATGTTAGGCCACTGGTTTGCTTTCTTCCAAAAATGCCCACGGAATAACTTTAGACTAAAAGCCCTACCAATGCGCCCGAAAATATGTAAATGCGAACGCATGCGTAGCGAAGTGGCTGTTTTCTCGGTCGAGTGTGGCGAAGCTGGCTGTTGAACACGCGAAAACAGTGAACTTCTTCAGATACGAAGCACTCGAGGTATGTTCTTACGTGCGTTGCCTCTATCATAACGCTTACTTAGGGTATGTTGATTTTCTTGGATTTTCAGGAAATATAAGCCCGAATGTTCGTATTCTAAAATTCGTAAATATTATAATCGAGATCTTTCTTGTGTATGTTGTCACCTCTACTCGAAAAAGCCTCACTTTATTACTTTATTAGCCTACCTGGCGTATCTATTTTTTTAATGGTTTCTTTAAAAGTTGCGTCCGAAGGACAATTTTCCGTAAGGAACCGTATTTTGTTGAGTTTCTTACAAGAATCGAAAGGAGAAAGAAGAAAAAATGAAATCATACTCAAAGCATCCAAGACAATAACAGTTGTCTTGATTTCACAAAAAATTCCGATTTCTTCGATTTAAAATAGAGCTGAAGCGTCTCTTTGACAATAAAATACTTGTATCGACTCGTAATTCATAACTTTATGTAACATAACCGCTCATAAGCTGAACTGAAGTTCCAACTATTGTCGTAATTTCCATTTCTATTTAGCGGTCACCTCCTCCTCCATTTCAGTCCCTAAATCAGTATTTGTATTGTCATCCACCTGTAATGAACGGTCACTTATAGCAGATCCACTAAAAAACTAAGAATAATCTTTCAAGTAAAATTTTAGCAAGTTTTTATACATAAGTGATCAATTATGGTGTAAAATGGCCTTTGTTATCGTTTATTTTACCACTCATTTCCAATGAAACTTGTAATAAACAGTCAATCTGTGTTAAGAGTGCTGCCGAAAAAAAAGTCAAGCAGGCTGTTGATACCGTGTTGAAGGCTATTGCCCCGGAGAATTCATTGTGGCTGCTTCAGAAAACTTTCGAAAGTACCATAACGGACGAGCTGTCTCTGTTACTTCCGAGGAGGACATCTTAATAAACAGACGAGTGACCCGCTAAAATGAAGCTAACTCTTGGTACACCTAGCAACAAATTCTCTCCCTCTTCGCCGGCGACGACGGCAGTAAAACAGAACTTCTACAGCTGGTTCCAGGACTGACTTAGTTCAGGATTGATGAGGCGAGAAAACATGCATATAGGACTAAACCCGGAGAGCTCATAGAACCACCAACCATAACCAGATCGAGGCTAGATCCCGTTAAGGTTGATCATTTTCTGGACTTCATATCATATCCTCAAGACGTAGCATATATTTTTTTTTTTTAAAGATCTTTATTATTAAAAAGAAACACGTCCAGAAACAAAACGTCTGGACTTACAATTTCCTACATATATCTATCTATTACGTATATACAAGACTAAGTAATTGCAATTCGAAAAGACATCTATTGAAAAAGCAACGTTTAAAGCGTTCGGTTCTGACTGGAGGCAGGATGTAATTATGTCCTCTTTTCCTAAAGCTCCTAGCTCTCTGAGCTGGTAAAAGTTCATGTAATGGATTTGCGCTGTCAGAGGTTATCTCGTCCCAAAGAAGCCTGTCTTTCATTCTAATTACATCCATTATGGGAGTGTATTTGCTAGTGTAGCCATAACGTAAAGCTCTCTTACAAAACTTGTCAATATGAGAGAGATATTTACTGTAGTGGGCAGAAGCCCACACCTCAATTGCGTAAGTGAAAAGTGACATAATTAGACTGTCAAACAGCAGTGTAAGTTCTTGTAGTGAGAAGCCGTAGTATTTGCAGACTCTGAGGATGTACAGTCTAGAACTTCCTTTGCTAAGCATGTTTTCAAATTGAACGTCCCAGTTACATGGTTTACAGTAACTCCTAGCAGCTTTAGTTCGCTCTTTCTAGTTATTCCGTCCACGGGCTCTGGAAGGGGCATTGTGGTTTTACCTTTAACAACCATCTCAAAGGTCTTCCTCATGTTTAGTGTCATCAGGTTTTTATCCGCCCAACGTTTGATATTTTCTACTTCATAATGTGATGAATCTGTAAGATTAGAGCCAGTTGTGACAGGCACACTTGCTGTGATATCATCAGCATATTTTATCAGTAGGGTTTGGGGGCTGACCGGTTTAATATCATTCACCATGATAGAGAACAATAAGGGTCCAAGCACAGTTCCCTGGGGAACCCCTCTGTTGACGTTGAGAAAACTGGTAACCACTCCATCAACCATTACTCTCTGTCGGTGATCACACAGGAAGCTTATTATCCAGTTCTTAATGTATGGATTGATGTCATACGACGCCAACTTGCTGAATAGAATGCGATGGGAGACTGAATCAAAAGCCTTACTGAAGTCGAATGAGAAGGCTCTTACAAAAGCCGCATCTCGGTCTAGTCGCTCAAGCCAAAAATGTTGGCACTTAATAAGGGCCATAGTTGTGTTGTGTCCCTTCTTATATGCGAATTGGTCAGGTCCAATCGCTGACTTGAGGATGGGAGATACTTCTTGTTTGCAAACGAGACGCTCAAAAATTCTCATTATGATGTTGGTTAATGAGATCGGTCTAAGCTGATTGCATTCAGTCAGAGGAGATTCCTTAGGGATGGGCGAGACGTTTGCTAGTTTCCACAGAGATGGAACGGTTTGATGCCTAAGTGAGCAGTTGAAAATTTTGGTGATCACAGGTGCAAGATGGTGAGAATAATCGCGCCAAAGCCAATAGGGAAACTCATCAGGCCCCGAGGCGGTTCGTTTCTGATGCGACAGTAAGTTTCGTACATCACATTCGTTCACAGTCGGCAGACGGGTTCCTGCTGGTATTTGCAGACGCGTTGGAGCCTCATATTCGTCGTCAGTGTTGATGGTCTGGAAATATGTGTTGATGACGTCAGGTGAAATCACCGAGCTGACAAGGGTGCCTTGTGTCTTTCTGCCAGTTATTCTGTTGGCTGTGTCCCACCATCCTTTAGAGCCTCGATAAATAATAAAGCAACTGTATAATGTGTGCCGTCTCGTCACTCTTCTCGTCTCGTTTCTCGATACACGTGCTAGAATTGTATATAGGAGGGTATGATCTTTGTGCTTTACATTTTCAGTTGGGACGCAGGTCGGAATACACGTACAACGTACAAGATAGGGGGGAATTTTTTTAATTATAATAATTGGTCGATGATTTTTTCCTTGCTTCTGATAACTTTTTTATAAATTTATCAGCTCCAACGATAAAATCATTGAATTTAAACTGTTCTAACAATGTTTTTCCCTTCTCAGAGAAATTAACATGGCAGAGCAACCAAGACGCTCTAGACGATTACAAGGAACACAGCCTGAACGTGATGCCATCGACTTGTTGTGTGGAATTTGCCGTTTACCGATTTCGGTAAAACTGTATAACTGTATGATAACAAAGTGCTGTGGTCAACCCATTCACCGTCCGTGTTTGGGAAATGCATTACAAATCAATGCACGGTGCCCACTATGTCGTAGCCGGCAAGGAATGCAAGGAATTCTTTTTTAAGTCTCCAGACCCATTTCCTCATGAACTTGAAAGATTACCTGAAAGACTCTTCATATCCTTAAAAGAGGACTTCATTGATGTACAACAAACAACTGCATTTACGGTTTAGCTTTTGAATCTGTAGTAGATTTGTGTGCTTTTATGTTTATTAAGGCCTATTGGAGTAAAAATAACTGAATTAAATAGTTTACCCGTTTTTATTAAAAAAAAATAAGGAAATTGGATCTTGCTGACATGCTAACCAACAGCAGCAATTGCTGTAATCTTTGTAATCAATAGAATAAGTACAATATGTTAATTGGTGCCATATATCTAAGTATAGCATAATACCATATAATATAAGTATCATATGTTAATTAGTGTTGCTATTTTATTGACGTCATCCATTGGTCCATCTGGGCTAAACACATTAACACTTAAATAAAGGTTTTACTTACTTACTTACTTAAGTAAGATCTGGCCAGCAAAGAGTAATAAAGCAATGACACGAAGTATATAGCTAAGGAAAAATTGATCGTATTAGCAACCAACAAGCATATAATGGCACAATCATCGCAAAAATAGTCATGTGTAATACATAAAGTGTATCTCTTTTAGATGAAGTTCTTGGACCTGATAGTCGAAGTGCCATGGATATTTGAATTTCTTTCTCTGGGTCTTAATGCGTAATTGTATTGAGTATCCACTATACAAATATTAACGAGCTTGATACAGTGGGATTAAGAGTACCGATTTGGAAAATAATTTAAAGTTTTTAAGAATAATAGATTTGACTGCGTGGTTGTGAAAGTGAAGATGAGAGTGAAAGGAATGCAGTCAGTGTTTTCCTTCTCAGCTGTTTTAGTGCTGACTTTC